TTTTCCGCCAGAGAAATGCCACACGAAGAGTTTCCCTGGTCGGATTAGATGGAATTTTCGAGTTAAACGTTGAGAAGTAGAATCGGTTATCGTTGCTCGAACAAAATCTTAGCATCAGTGGAAATGGAAATGATATCGATCCTGCGTTTTTCATTCACTGTTGCATTGAAAATTATTCGTGGATGATAGCCAAAGACGCGAAGATTTTATCTTGAGATAGTCGAAAAAGATTTTTTTCGCGCGTTTTGTCTTGCATGTTATTTTATTTCTTCTTTTTTTTCCCCCCTTCCCCCTCATTTTTCTCGTTTTCTTAATTCAATATATAATTTTTTTTCTCAAGAAGTTACCATGGATATCGTGTCGAATTCGTTATTATCAAAAAGCTTAGGGATAGAAGAAATTACTTGATTTTTTAAAATTTCTTTTTGTATCTTTTCTTTTTTTTGTATGACGTCACTTTTCTCTGTTGTCTTTGATCTTCATCCTATATTGTCTTTGATGCTGTGTCGCTGTTGTTGTGTCGATGGTTGAACGAGTATGTCTATCTCACCTTGTGTATAATACCATTGTTGCATTATATCTCTCAAATATATATTTACAGTAATTTTTTGGTCGTTTTGAATGAAATAAACATTTTTCATACACGCATTTACACAACATACTTGAAATACTTGAAAAGTGAACGATTTCAATCATTTTCTTTTTTAAATTAATAACGATAAAAAAAAAAGAAACGAATGTTTTGAAATATATGCAATGCAATTTCGAAGATAAAGAGACTTTCTATTCTTTCTATTCAATTTCATTTCAAATACATTTTTAAACTAAGAAAGTTTTAAACTCGAACCATCTTCATCATAGCCCTCTCGTTAACGCGTTAAAGTTGATCGAAGAGTTTCACTTTTCAAGCAGATTTCGAAATCGAAATAAACAAATAAAAAAATTATCCTGAAAATTGTCCTCCACAAACACGGTAACCGTTTCTCATTTCCCCCCACTGCATTATCTCTGTCGCATAATTATCGTTTCGTTCTCGCATTCCTGGTCAATAAAGGTTCAGGTTCTCTCTTTCCCTCGCGAGAAACCAATATTCACGTACGCGCACGTAGTACTTGAACGTAGTACAAACGTACAGATGCTACCGACAAGACCGTTCGGATGAATAACGACGATGAAAGACGATAAAGAACTGCGCAAACGTGTACTTAAAACAGATATATACACGGGAGGATCGTTCGTATAAAAGAGAGACGGTGGGCTGCCTGTTCTCTTCTCTTTTACGTTCCATATGGAAAGGAAAAAAAAAAAAAAAAAAAAAAA